GTAACTCTTCCCAAACAAACAGATACAGGCTGTCTTTCCACAGTGCAAAAAAGCTCTGTGCAACACATGAGTTAATTGGACTGGGCGTTCACTCAGGGGTGAATGTGCAAGTCACTGATTAACTCTGTACTATGTTAACCCCTTCTGACATTGCAGAGCCCCATGGAGACTGACAGTAGTGGCATATGGTCTTTGCTGCAACTGATACTAGGAACAGGAACTATTSGGGCAACAACTAATGGGATTAAAAATGTTACAGTAAACCAAAGACAGACCTGGAAAGGATATTTCCTGAAATATGTTTAACTGGTGAGCAATGCGGTGATATTTGCCAAGTGGACAAGCAGTGTTTAGTGGACACCTGGACAGGGGACCTCAACCTGGCTTGCCATTGAGTCCACTGATGGATACACATCCCAGGATACAGTTTCCTTACATGCAGTGGCTCTGTCCTGCAGCCGGTCACTGTAAGGAAATAAGTCSAGAGCTAAGGACAGGTCCCACCTAAACCACACTTCTCATGATGAAATACTCATATCTGWGACTTTTACTCCATCTAATGCTACAGGAGGGCCACTTACATGTGAAGCTTTAATGCTTAGGTTCTGCATCAGTGTGAATCAAATTCTACTTGTACTAGTTCACTTCCATTTCTCTCTCCTCATGTCCATAAGTTAATCTTCAGGTGACGCTGTTCTTTATGGGGTTGTTATTTGTATTCTGTATTTGTATTCACTTTTTTCAGAAGATAAGGAGTACTGAGATGGTGAAATAGGTATCTCCGCAGGTCATCCCTACAGACAGGAAATACAGGAAGGCAAATTACCATATGGAGGGTAATTTTCACTCTCATGCCCTTGAATACAGTATGGGTCTTGTTCACTATCCACATATCAAACCCTTGCATCACATCCTTCTCCCTTTCTTCGTACAYGGATGTTAGACACTCACTAAACCTATACACAAGCTTAATTAAACATAAGATGTCAAGTCAAAATCATAACTGTAATATTTGGAAGATTGCTTAAAGGTACCTACAAAGAATAATTTTAAATTATTTTTCWGGTCTCCCAAAATGCAGAATGCTCAAAAGAGACCATTTTATTGGAAATATTTTCTCAATCAGTGCTATTTTGCTCATAAAACTTGAAGACTCTGTTCATATATTACGCTTTCTGCAAGTTTTGGTTTTGTTGTGGATTTCAGCTTTTAGTCCATATGTTTATTCTGAGTTGGAAAATAAAATTTCYTCCCATTTGCCAATACTAAATAGTAAGGGCATCAAGAAATTAACATTTTTTTCTCTGGCCAGCTGCCAAAGAAATTTTCTTTTGCCTGAATTGCATACTGGAAGAGCCAGATCACTATAAAACCTCAGCATGAAATTGAACATTTCAATGTTCAGCTTCTGGGGACACAGGTGCCTCCACATCCTTTAACCCTTAGACTCTGATCTCTGCCATGAGCAGCGCCCTCTATGCTGTCACAGCCATCTGTCAGTCTGCTCAGGAGCTGCAGATGTGAGTGGTCAGAGCAGTGTCTCTCTGGAGAGGCTCAGGGCAGCCAGGGATCCTGAGAATGCYAGAAATCCCAGTCCAATCCCAGCGCTGTCTGTCCAGCAGCTGAGGTGTTCCCAGGTAAGCAGGGCAATGAGTTTGGAACAGCTCCTATGATACCCAGGGAAAACTCTGAGTTGTTCAGTCATCTAGAGGAAAATMTGCCCAGGATGGAAATGCTGTTATCAGCAGCATTTGCAGTACAATATAAGGCGAAGATTCACCTTAAACAGAAACTCACCCTAGCTTTTCTTTGAAAAATGCATTGAGGAAAGGACATGAGGTACAAAATTACAGGGTTAATAAAACTTTTCTGCTTTTCTGCTTTGTTCATTCTCTCTAAAGTAAACAGACAAAAATCCAATATAAGCATCCTTTTCAACTGACATTTATTATTTTAGGCACCATAGGTAAYAAAAACGACTGGACCAAAAAGAAACTTTTCTTTTTCTTTATTTTCTTTTTGACAGTTGGTAAGTACCTCAAAGTAATAAATTTTGAAAGCTGCTGCTATTGTGTCAGTCAATTATGTCTTACTTTTAGAAAAGATTCCTATATTTTTCTGAATTGATTCTCACACTCACTGACTTCATCTCTGCTTACTTTTCACTCTCAAAATACTACTCATCCATCAAGTTTCCTTCTTTACATTAATTTTGTGACATGACAGCTTCCTTCCCTTTTCAATCCTCCCTTCTTCCATCTCCTTACCCCACTGAATGCAAGGGCCCACAGAGTATCTCTGATCTAGCCAAAGCGCATGAGGTGTAACTGCCCTGAATAGCTCTGTCTTTTAGATTGAGAGTGTAAGGGCACAAAATGACTCAATTCAAGGAGAGAATAAACTGCAGAAACAGGTTTGGTTTGCCATCAGATCAGCAAGATGGTCTAAGCAGATAAAGATGTAAAAATAACTGGATAAAGAATAAAGAATAAAGTGTAAAGTATTAAAAAACATGTTTTTTTAATGGTCTGGTTTGCCATCAGATCAGCAAGACCAGAATAAGATATGAGCCTCTTTTTCTAGTGCTGTCATCATGTTGGTCCTTGCTGAGTGTGATTCCTCAGGCCTTTTAATGCCAGCTGCTGCCTGAYTGGTTTAACCCCATCAAGTTCCTGAGCCTTTGGACTCCTTTTCTAAATATAGTATTTTAGACTTACCTTTACTAAACTTTGTCTTTCCTAGTCTTCTCAATTTATGTTTCAAATTGTTTTGCCATTTTCCCTTAGTACTTTMATCACTCTATTCTGGTCCCAAGACTTAAAAGTCACACATTAATGATACAATATATGATATCAGTCTGCTCACCAGTGTTAAAAACAATATTGAATATGATCAGGATTCAGCCACTAAAGGATATTGCTTTAATTACCTTCCCAATTTTGCTGTCAATCAGTATATGCAGTTTGATCATGAGCACAGTWTTACAACCGAGTTTGTAATACCCAGGTCATCAAGTGGATATTCCTGAAAGTATTTCTGTGGTGACAATGCTTCTGAATGCCTTTTATTGGCAATGTATGAATTTCTAAGAATGTAAATCTACATTCAGTGCTTTCATTTCTATAACCACATTTGTACATTGCCATCTCCACATAAATTTGAACCTTTTATTGGTGTATTTTATACAATTTCAGGCATTCTGCAAGGCTGTCACCCTCTGTATTTTCTGTCAATGGCTTACTCAAAAAGCGAGTTATCTTAGGAAGGAACACAAACTGCTTTGACRTGATTTATATTTACTATTTTATTATGCTCAAAAAGTTTCATRGTTAGTTGTTTTGTCACTTTCTCTAGTGCATTTCTACATATCAAGTTCAGGTGGCAGCTCTGTTTTGATTCTTCCTTCTCAAGTGTTCAAACACAGCTATTATATATGTTCTCCTCCTGGCATCTGGTACCTTTCAGGTGTCCTACAGATAACTTGTAATTGTTCAAAGACAGCCTGCATCAGGACTTTGTGCTGCTCTGCTTTTGAATCCATTCATTTTTTCTGAATATTGTATGACTTCCACCRTTCCTGTTTCTTTGCAAAACTCTTCATGTTCACATATGTTCAAGCAGAAGTAACCAGCTTGAGAAAAATGACACAGAATGTTTTTTAATACTTTACACTTTATTCTTTATCCAGTTATTTTTACATCTTTATCTGCTTAGATGATGAATCTATAATTTGGGTGTGGATTTTCCATTTTATAATTTAACTATGATTAAAGAACCGTATTTTGCTTTTATTTCTGGAATAGGTGGCTGCTGGTCCCTGGACAAGTCTGAAATATGCTGTTCAGAGAGGTAAGAGGTAAATACCAATGGCAGTGCAATAGAGCTGGGTATAGCAATGTCTCACACAATCACTCTTGACGATCTCACTGTCTCAGTATAATAATTTTCAAGAAACACACAGACAAACCAGAAGGGTTCTACGGGAGGACCACAAAGGTGAGAAGGCTCAGGGACAACCTCCTCACAGTTTCCACTACTTAAAGGGTAGCTAAAGAGAGGATAGAGGCTCTCTATTCACTAGACACCACATGGAGAAGAAAACAGGCAATGAGTTCAAGTTGCGCCAGGCAAGGTTTAATCTTGATACATGAAGTAAATTCCTTACAGCAAGAAAAAGCATTTTCTGGAACAATGACCCAAGGTGCATGGTAGAGTCCTCATCACTGGAGATTTTCAAAATATGATATCTAGATAGAGTCTCTTCTAGGCTGCCTTTCTCATGAAAGGTTGGACCAGATGATTTTTCAAGGTCTCTTCCAATCTCGGCTACTCTATGATCCTATGAAAAGCAGTRCTCCTGAGTGAATCTTGCCTGCTAACACCAGCCCAAAATCTGAAATCCATCTTGGTATGTTGCATTCAGAGAGGTGAAAAGTCTTAAGAATCCTGATCCCTATTCCCATTTATTTCCCTCCCTCTAGCTTTGATTTACTTTATGCTGGTTGCATGGACGATATCTGCTCTCATCAGGATTGCATCATATCCATATTTTTGCTAGAGATATTTTCTGTGAAGATGTTGCCTGATTTGAAACATTTGGCTAGAAAGAAGACGGGCATTTCCCTCCAGGTTACAGCTACTGGGAGAGCGCTGTTGAGTTTTTTGTMAATATGGTTGTACATATGGTTAGTTGACATGTTCTTCAGCAAACGTTTGTAGAAGAAATGCCCATCGTTCMTCATTGTTGCTATGAAGATCGCTGCAATGATTATTACATGAATTCTAAGGTGCTTGRATCATTTGATTTATTTTTCTAGTACATGGCATTCAGGTGATCTGAATCTGCCTTGGAAAGCTCTTGCTCTAAGGACGTTTCATTACTCTTCAGGCTTTGCAGTACAAGTCATACTTCAACTTWTTTCCAAGTTTAGTGCCTGCTATCCGTTCTTCAAATACTTTGTCCATTTTCTCATTCTGATCTTCAGTGAAAAGATTCTTCCAGTCACTTACACCACCTTCAAAGAAGCAAAGAAACTCTTGAAAACCAAGAAATGGTATTATTTTTCATTCTATAGATCTGTCATTCTTGTTGCATTGTACACTAAATAGTGTTAATCCATTTTCCAGATAAAACATTTTTCTACACCATTATAATTTTGCTAAATCAGTGGCAGTACATATATGTAAATAATCTTTTGCTATAATGCAAACAAACATGCTCCACTTTAGGTGACTGTGTTCAAAAGGCAGCTTAAAGTCCTGTTTCTCTACATCTCTTTTCTCCAGTCAGTYTTGACTGGCAAAGYGGAAGATCATGAAGAATTGRTTAARAATCACCTGTCAGGAGGCAGAGCTGGGTTTCTGCTCCTTGGGCAGCTTGAGTTTCTATCCAGTGACTTCTTTAATGTGAAATACCGAAATAGATTCTGACAGCCAGGTTAGCCTCCTCATGTCGGTGTCCTCTACACTACACTACAACAGTTGTYCCCTTTGGTTTCCTCTCCTGTGTGTCCCTGGATTCTTGCWTGCTTGGCTTACTGCTAATGCAGGAGRGTGAACAGGCATTTGGCAGTGGCCATTTCAGAAGATTCCTACGTTCTCCTGAAAAGTGTGGCGACTTCACACCAGCTGAGTTTGACCCACTGCTGCCTGCTTGGGTAGTCCTTGAGTGGCAATTGATTGGGCAATTGGTGATCCAGGCACAGAGGTGGAGAGGRGTTCATTCACATGACAGTTCTTCCTTCCTGTCAGCCATCTGTGAGCCTCTAAAATAGGCTCTGCTGTCAGAGCTTTTCTGGGTATCTTCCTCACCAGTGCTCCTTGAAYGGTCCTCTCAGGCAAAGCAGTGATAACCTGCTTGATGCTAACTTGCAATGATGATTTGTGCACAGTAAAAAGAACCAAAGGATGGGCCAAGTTCTTGAGAGTGTGACATTTCTACCTCTGAGTCACTTGGAACTTCCTACCTTTGCGAAAGAGAACATTGCCAAATGCCCCATGGGTCTTGTCTGAGTTCTTCTTCATAGACTGGAAGCTGCTCCTGTYTACCACRAGCTGAAGCTCTTCCTCAGTCAGTGGAATTCCAAAGAAAGCAGCGATGTTTTTCACACCCAGGGCACGATTCTGGAACAGGAATGTAAGATACGACGTGACTTTCAAACCARTTATGCTGCTTCCAGCGGGTTTACATTTCCCTGTATCTGCATGCWGGCTGCATACATAGAATATTCATAGAGTTCAGTAGGATTAGAGTGGTCCATAGTGCTTCTCTTCTCCATAATTTCAGAGGAGATATGAGCTGTCTTCCTATAGATTGCAAAAGATTATCTATGATTTACAGGTGAGCAAAATCTACACTGTTGAGTACATAAAAGCTCCTCCCAAAAAAATTATTGGGGATTTAGGTTTACAATTATTTCTTGGGCTTATATCGCAGAAAAATAAAAAAACAAGAAACATTTTCACAAACAATATTTTAAGAAGGTCTTTAAGTTTGAAGKTCACCTTTTCTTCCCTTGAGAGAAGAATCTTTCTCACACGGTTTGAATACCCTACATGAGCATAACAGTGAATTGGTTAAAGAAATAAATGTCTCTTGAAGTATAAAATATTGTAACTGTGGATAACCTTACCTCTTTTAGCTCTTCATAAGTTATTGTCATAATATTTTCCTTATCCGCRTATTTGTTCCATTCCAAAAGATATTCGAAGTAGCATCCCCAGACCACTAAATAAAACAGAAGAATCCTGTGATGAAGCATAACTGAAGATTATACAAGCTCCTTATAAAATAAACCTAGTTGTCCTCATTAAGTTGATTCAGCCAAGGGTTTTATTAATCATKTCTATGGCAGAGTTCACACACTTCTGTGGGAATTATAGGTGTTGCTCCAGGCTCAGGCATATGATACCATTTGTAAGTTAGAACACTAGAACTTGTTAGTATTTCAAGACWGCTGTGAGTCCACCAAAAACCCATAATCTTGCAGACCATCATGCAGACTCCCTTAATGCAGTCTAAAATCTTGTTGAACCCTCCCTTCTGCTGGTCACGTGCCAAACTCATATAATTTCAAATTAGTGGTATTATTTTCTCTCTTTTTTAATGCATTAGACTTAGTCCAAATAATTCCTTTGGCATGGAGGTGATTATATGTCTATATGGACACAGGATGATGGACATGGGAGAGGAGCGGTAAAGGGAATCCGAGATAGAGATTAGGAAGAGCTGCTTCTTCCAGAAAAAAATATTAGTTTGTACAAATAAAACACATTTGTGCAAGTGCAGTTTTGACAAGGATTTATCCTCAACAGTAAGACAATTACTGTAAATTTCAGTTCAAATTCTGGACTTTGTCTTTAATCTGTGCTTTTGCAGTGTAAATCAAAACATCCTAGTGAAGCTGACTTAGTGGASTACAAGGTTTTTTTTAGACAAAGACAAATCACAGGATAATTGACACAGACAGAATGATATACTGTACTTTTCTTTGTCATGAAATCTGTGAAGAAATCATCCCAGGTCTCATAGGAGGGAAGAGTAGCCAGGCCATTGGAAAAATGGTAAAATGATGTAGCTACATCTTTTGGATTACGAATCAGTAACAATATCTAGGGAAAAAAATAATTATTTGTAGAGAAAAGCAARGCAGACTATTGCAATAAAAAATACTAATAATATACTTTATAACTACAGTTGAAGACTTCTAACAACTTGCGTGCTACTTGCACAAGTAGCAATTTCATTCCAAATGCAGAAGGTGCAGTATTTAACTTTCATTTGGTACCATGAGAAAATGGTGGCCTATACTTACTATCTTTCACAGAACAACCAGATTAATGAGGCAGAATCTAAATATGTTTTTCTCAATGCAAGCATAGTTCATGATTTCAATAGCACGGAAAAATGACAAAAATACAAATTCTCTCTGAATTGTGACACATTGAAGCTCTCACTTGCAATAACACCATAAAATTTCTCCCACAGGAAATCATGTCAAATTGCATTTTGCCTCTGGAGGATTTGTTCAAGTCCTGCAACTCCCTTGTGGAAACTGTCACAAAGGTGCCAATAAGGACAAACTGAGGTTAAGTGACATGAATGGCAATACTTCAACAGGTATGTGGAAATGCTTAAGTATCAGAGAGATTCTGAAAATTGGCAGAAAAGTACTACATTCAATTTTAAAAAAAAACAAATCTATTTAAGTGTTTGCTTTTAATACATTAAAATCAGCACTCACCTTGACTTTGTTTTTGAAGATGGACTTGGGAAGATTTTCAGGWCGGAGATGAGTAACCATGAATCTTGGAGAAGGTAATTTGGTCATTCGCTTTAAGAATTGGAARGAGGAAAGTGGACAATTCAGTTAGTACAAGTATTCTTTTCATTACGCTGTGCTAAATTATTGCCTTCATAAACTTATCAACAGTTATTGGCTGATGGCAGTGTTGGGTTGGGTTGTTTTTTTTTTGAGTGTTACCCTGGGATGTTAGTGGGCTGCTCTGAGTAGCTCTAAGTTTCAAAAGCCCCTGAGCAATTGGAGAAAGACTATCCACTGTTAATTCTCTTCAGTGATAATTCTCTGCAGTTCTGTTAGACAAGGGAACAAATCTAGAGGTAAGGCACAAACTCTAACTGGGTATATATGAAAGCTGAGGTGTCTCAAGGACTGAGAGAGGGGGTGAAGAGGAAGAGCTAGTAAAAGAGACAAAAGCTAATATGTCATTGTTGGACATTTCATGAAGCTCTTCTCAAACACAAAAGATGCTTTGTTGAATTTCTGAAGTTCCTGTGTATTCATGGGTATGTGCTCCTCTCACTCCCATTGAAATGTTCATTTATCCTTCAGTATTTGACAGTCCAGATGAGATTCATCCTGACCAGATGTCCCATAAAGAGAAGTGGTAAAGTTCTAATCCAACAATGGAATAGTTCATATATCATATCTTCAGTATTTGAAGCAGGTAATTTTGATAATTTTCATACATAGTCTGTTCCCACCTCATATTTCTCAACATCTCCAACTTCGAGATAGGGGAATTCTTCAAGATCTTCATCACTTGCACTGCTTTCACTACCCGGTGTTTTCTTTTGAGATACAGCTATCAGGTCAGTTAAGATTTGACTTAGCCAGTTTGTGCCTGTAGGAAGAATGATACAGAATATCTTGTAAAACTTTTGGAATAAACAGAAATGGATTTGTCAGGGCAGTCAAGAGGTGGTCATACTACCAGGTGAGTTACTTGGATTCCTTTCATGTGGTACAATCACAGCTGACTGTCTGGGCAATCACTGCTCAGGATCCTACCATGGCTCCTTATAAGAATATATTCCTCCAGCCTGAATGGTTCAGTACACCATAAATTAACTTGCACATTGTAAACTAATTAACAAAGGAGAAGAACTACTAAGATTCCGCCAGGAAAACCTGCATTCAACTAATAAATTTTACTGTGACAAATATAAGGGAGACTGGGGCAGCAAACCTGTATTGTGAACTCAAAGTATTCTGTGTTTTCTGGTGTGCTGGATTATTGTAGGAAGAAAGATGGGTCACAGTACACAGTACATGGGAGCAGAACTAGAACTGATAATTGTACTCTATGCTCATTTTCTTTAACAGTAGGAAAAAGCTCTATGAAGTGACTTTCCTACACACATTTATTATATTTTTATTGAAAACATCACAAGGAGCCTGTATGGAACTCCCATCTTGGATTTACCATTTCCTGACTTCTGGACACTGGGCTTCTACATCTTTCTCACTGCAGTCATAACAACTGCATTTTGGTGTGGAACATTTTTCCAAAAGAAAATACAATAAAAAAGCAAAAGCTTTACAATTCTGTCAGCTGTGAGTATCTACTATAAGACAGTGTGAACCAATTGCTGGAAGAGAGAAACAGCTAGATTAAAGTGGATATGAGGCAAATCTAACCCAAACCTGTGGCTCTGATGTGGGTCAGTGCTTTCAGGTAGAAGGAGCAAATATGTAGGGTAAACTTGCAAACCTAGCAAAGATCTCCTCTTGATTTCCCAAGAATTAAAGAACAGTGTGATCACTTCAAGGACTACAAAAATATTTTTGATAACTCTTTCCTGACATCAGTGTGAAATGAACTAAAGAATATTCAGCATGGCATGTGAAGGTACTGAAAGCTCCATTCTGTGTAAAAATATAAAGCTCTTAACCTAACAAATGTAAATATGAGAGCATATCCTGCAATATCAAGATATCTAGCTATATCTGGTATAWAAAACTGTTTTTTAATTCCCTTCAATTTGTCCATTGAACTTCATAACTATGAAAAGCAAAGAGAGCAAAAATCTTTACATGCTATAGAAAAGAAAATCAGATTGTTTTCCTCAGTATTTTGGAAAATCGCCCATATAAAATATTCCTAATTAATTTGTTGTGGTTTTTGAGAATGAAATCCGATTTTCAAAATTTTCTGAACATTATAAATACTATTATTTGGTATAATACATGATACTATGTATCATGAAATATATATTGCATATATTTAGTACAAACATTGTTACTTGCTATTACATAACCATATTTATGAAAAAAAAGTAAGATATATTCACCAGATTTAGGGTATCCTGCCAAAATGACATCATCACTTCTGGCTTCAAAGGACTCCAAGGCTTTGAAGGATTCAGGACTGCAAAAAGTGATAGGGTAGGGAATTCCCTTGTAAGAAAAAAGCARTTCATCACGATGCATTGAGTTAGCAACTACTGTTGCTTTGTCTAAGACATCAGTAAATTTCTTCCCGGACTTCTCCATGCTTCTTCTCTCTCTCACACACCCAGGCACTGTCACACTGTGAAATGCTGTGTAGAAGGAGAAACCCGCAGATGTCCTTTAATAGTGCTTGGTTTGCTTTTGGGAGTGGGGGGGATTTGACCCTATGAACAATAATTTACTACTCTTTCTGAACTTGTAAAGAAATATTTGGCTTTGGTCAAAGACCTTAAGTAATTTGAACCTTTTGAAATCAGTAGAATTTCAACTTAAACAAGATAAGAATCCAAATTGAATTGCATTCTCGGAAAAAAGGTTTAGATAATTTCAGAACACCATGCCATAAAGTCTGTGATTACAACACAGAGTTTATAAAGAGAATGTAACAAAATAGCATGACATGAATTGCAGACTGGAATTTAAACATCAGGATCAAAACCCTCAAGGCAGTTCATCTCTTTCCAACACTCACTCTACTGGGATTTTCTTTTCTTTTTTCCTTTTTTTTTTATTATATCATTCATCATTCTCACCAAAGTTATAACAAATTCCCCAATCAAACTGGGAGAGAAAATGTTCAGTGCACTAGGGACTGAGCTGTGGAAAGTACTGTGAAGTTGCCCAACTATTCCCTCCAGCTGGTGCCCAAGAGGGCAAGGGGGTCC